TTTATTTTGTTTGTTTGCACTTATCAACCATCACCTAAACTTACCTTATTTTTATCTTATTAGCACTTATCTCATGTAAACTTATTAGACCAAAAATAAGTTTCAATATGGTGAGGATAATTTAGCCTCATTTCTTAGGAGTATTAAGCTATTAACAGATGAGAATGCTGTAGGGGATAAATAATAGGTAGTGGTGGACTGGTGGTTGTCCATAAATTAGAAGAATAAACAAAATTTCCAAATTGCATAACAGCTTTCATACCCTAGACTAGTGCCAGCAATGTATCTTAAACCCACATAGGAATTGAGTAAAATTATCTGATTGAAGAAAAATGCAATGTGAGAGAAAAACATACTTCATCTTATTTTAAATATGGTAACGTTTACACTTTTAACACTATTCAGATATTACTATTTAATTACATAATTCATTCGTAAGGAAAGAATGAAAGATATAGTCATGTGGGTCTTGTTAGATACATTTCGATGTATGCTTTCGCAATATCAACTTTTTATGATTTTATTATTTTATAAAAAAACATTTAAGGTTGAATTGTGCTTAGGGAAGTGCAATTCCCCTCCAGGTTGTCATATCAAAGGAACAAAGGAAGTATAATTTAGTCGAAGTTTAAGCAACGTAATCCTTACCAAATAAGGAGGATCCGCAACTATAATCTGGTAAGCGTGCTTCATTGTTTGTGGCAAATCTTCTGGTAGGTTGTAATCGTAGAATGTAAAATCATTTCCATATTGCTCAAAACGTGTGTCATATTCCAAAAGTTGCACAGACATAGTTGGATACAATCTCTGAAATTTATACAGTAATACATTGAGAAATTACAACTAGATGAAGAAGCAAAAATAAGTGGAACACACGGCAATAAATCATCATAGCAGTATAACACCACCATACAACAAACAAGGACATGTAATAACCCTCAAACAATGTATTAGTGAAGGATTTAAGTTCCTTGGATACATCTCAAAAACAACTATTAAGAAAATCCATAAGTGAGACACTCAAGAGGGAATTTATAATTTAGACTGTAAAGGCAGCAACCAAAAAAGAAACAGAGCAAAATCATGTTTGAAAAAAAAAAAAAAAAAAAAAAAAAAAAAAACTTTCACTGAGTCTATTTTCTTATTGCTTGTAATTAAAGTAGACATGAAGCACAGAAAGGAAACTATTAACATGACAAGTTGACAACCAACTAATATAAAACCTGAAACAGCAAATAGTCTTGGTTTCTATGGCTTCAAATTCAGGAGGCAGGAAGTGGAAGACATCGTAATTCATAAATCTGCATTCAAAATCCATAGAAAGAGTTGCATTAAACCTCTATTGCTCTTGCTCCCAGTCAATGAGGGAGATAAAGCACTCAGAAACTTTGGTATACTAAGCCCTTTTATATAGAGTCCTAGTTAGAACAGTTTACAACAAATAAGATACAATACCTTTGTGGTTGTTATGAGAAAATCCTATGTCACACTTTGCTGCATCAATTTCTCTAATTTTATACAAAAATAAAAACTTTTATGGAGGAAAGCTTTCAACCACTGAATACGGACTGACGAACATGAGTGAAAAGACTAAAGAACGACATGGAAAGTAACAAAAGTCTGATTTGAGCAAAAGAAAACCATGATTAGCAAATAACAAGGCAAGAAAGCAACACTACAGAAGAATTCTGGTACAGGGAACTGTTGAAATCAAGCTTTAAAAAACAAACAAATAAATAGCGAAAAGAAATTACAAATACTGAATTATGACCTCTAGAAACCTTCTGAAACCTAGGATAACTGGATTCATCTTTAAACCTTTCCTGATCCAAAAAACAAATTCATCACCAACAATCCCTAATTACCAAGCTATCATCTCCTGTTACATTAGCATGTTAACTACCTACCTCTCGGTTTTACGTCAACCAATCTCACCACATACCTAGGGCATCTGAACCACTTGTGAATTGTATGAACCAACATTTTGCTTTGATTCACATTTCTGAATCCAAAACACGAAATCCCAACCTCAGCATAAGCCTTAAGGGCAGCTCATTATAGCAATTCAAACATGTTTAGGTAATACTTCCATAATTCTTCATACCCCTAATTAATCCATTCGCACACTAAATTCATCAAACCCTTATCATTTGGGGGTGAAATAGCATTACGCGGGCATTACCACTATTTATTATCACCTACCAAATGGGCCGTAAGAGTATATAATTCCCATCTCATATTGTATTATTTTCAGCACAAAACACAAACAATTCATACAAAGAAAAAAAAACAGCAAAATTACACAAAATGCATCATAATTCATAATCAAGACATTCCAAACAAATAAGAAAAAACCCAGAAATCAAACAGCAATAATAATTAGAAAAAAAATAATGGGGTATACAAATTGAGTACCTTAAGATAAATAAACAAAGTGGGGCAAGAAATGCAAGCAACAGAAGGAAGAACATCAGGGTCCTCACTATTCAATTGAGAGAAGAGAGAGAAAACTTCAGAAGCAACAGTAATGGCGGTTTGAGGGGAGTACCAAAACTGACTCAACCGCCAATCTTCCGACAACAATGGTAATTCAATTTCACCATTGTTTTCTTCTGGTTTTTCTTCAATTGTTCTAGAAATCGATTGTGAAGCTAAAAACTCTTTGAGTGCATCCAAAGCGAAGGGACTAAGAGTTGGTGAATCGTCATCTTCTTCTCGTTGTTCAATTTTCAGAGTTTCAGATTGAATTTTGGGTTGAATTTCATGGTTTTGAGTTGAATCCATGTTTAATTGTGGGAATTAGAAGAGTGAGGAAAGCAAAGATATGAAATAGAAACTTGAGTTTCTTCAGCAACGTTTATTTTCGAGAACAGGTTGTGGCGGCTGGCTATTCGGATCTGTGGGTTTAGTTTGAGTTTGGGTCACTTTCGACATGATTCTAGTGAATCTTGAATGTATTCGCTCTATTTCGCCGATAAGTCTATTGTGCACCCTGGTTCATCTAGGATAACTGGACCACGATTGTTCAGATTTTATTACTACTAAATTTAAAAACATGGACGTGGTGCACTGTTTGAATTTTTTTTTACAAAATGTTCAAAATTTGCAATTGTTCAGATTTTTTTACAAAATGCTTAAAAGTATAGGCGTACATCAAGATTGTTCACATATTTTTTACTAAATGTTCAAAATTTGCGAGATTCAAATTTTTTTACTTAATGTTCAAATTTTGCAATTGTCCAAATTTTTTTACTAAATGTTCAAAAGTATAGGCGTGATCATTGCAATTGCTCAGACATTTTTACTAAATGTTCAAAATTTGCGATGTTCAGATTTTTTACTAAATGTTCAAAATTTGCAATTGTTCAGATCTTTTTACTGAATGTTCAAAAGTATAGGCGTGGTACATTGCGATTGTTCAGATATTTTCACTAAATGTTCAAAATTTTTGATATTCAGTTTTTTTTTTAAATGTTCGAAATTTGCAATTGTTCAGATTTTGTTTACTAAATGTTCAAAAGTATCAGGTAATTGATCATAATAGATACGAATTGATCGATCGAATTAACTTCAACAAATTCAATTGATATTAGAACCATGATTTCATCTACAAATTCATCTCAAAATCAAAAAAATACATACAGATTAATGAGAACAGTAAAAACAATCAGGTAATCGATTACGAATTGAAATCAATCTAATTAGCTTTCACAAATTCAATTGATATTAAAACAATTATTTCATCCACAAATTTATCTCAAAATCAAAAAATTAATTAATATTGATCATATTGAGTTCATAATAACAAACCTAGATTGATATCTTTGGGAATTTTAAATTGTTCCATCACATTAAATGCAGAAATTTAATGGGAAAAAAAAAATCAAAGAACAAAGGAGAGAGAAAATAAGAATTTAAAAAAAAAAAAGAAAGAATAAAGTAAATTCAATAAATAAATAAAAAGAGATTAGATGAGAGAGAGAGAGAGTGTTTATGTAAAAAAAGGAAACAAAATTTTGTAAAGATGGTGGGTAGGAGTAGAAGAGAATGAAGTTGTGTTTCATTTATATAAGGTGTTTTAATAGGGGTCTAGCTATTTTAAATGAACTAGGGTTCATAGAAGAATTTGTACTATTTCGCATTAGAGTACCAGTTGGCTATTGGTGCAGTGGTGATTGAAGTTTCACTAGATCGCATGTTCAATCCTCCGCAATAGTAATTGGAATGGGTTTGAAACCTAACCACCTAAAGTTGAGCCCTAAATTTAAATTAGTACAAAGGGTGAATTGGGTGAAACACCATAAGTTTCGCAATAATTAAAGTTATATTCTCTTCACCTTTATTTTTTAGGAAATTCCCATTGGTACTCCCGTTGTTTTGACTTTTTCCATTGATACACTCTTAAATTTTTGATGATATTCATTTTTTTTTGTTTTTTTTTTTACTAAAAGTAACTTATTTTTTTCTTAAATAAACTTATTTTAGCTTAACTTAAATTATTTTTTTGAACACTATTAATTAAAAATGAAGAGAATAAAGGCTTAATAATAAACTAAATGTACTCTATATAAAATTCAAATTTTGGTCTCATCTCTATAAGTTGAATTTTTATTTTTTATTTTTTATTTTTTTTTAACATGAAATTTGTTGTTTATTGATCTGGAATTACATATAGTAAATATTATTATTTTTTTTTATTTTTTTCAAACAAAATAGTAATATTATTGTATAAAGGTGAAGAAACAAGACCTAAAATTTAGGTTTATGCTATTTGCCTTATTTTTTTTCTAGTTCTATGTGCATGCATTGTGTGTATTATACTCTGTATTTTCAAATTAATCCAACATCACAAAAATAACCCAAATTGAAAATTCTGCTTAATCAAAATTAAGTTAAAACTTAAAATTATAACCAGACTAATAAATCAAACAAATACGAGTACACAGTTATAGTTTGTCTAATGTGTGTGAGTGTGTCCATGAGAATATGCAATGTTAGCATTTATATGTCCAATAAGTAGAACATCAAGATAATTGTTATCAATTACAATTTGTTAAGGCACGTATACACTATACTTAGAGTTTTATAATCGAGTAAATCTTATGCATCTAGCTAATGACTTTATAAAAATAAAAATAAAAATAAAAAAAACCCAAAGAAAACCCCCCACAAATTTTGGTTCCATTGTTTTTTTTTTGGCATGACTAACACAGTTGTACACAATGCACCCGCAATACAAAAAAAATCACATCGTTTTTTTCATTGGAGGGCGATAACGATTTCCTATTTCGTTTTCTGATGATAAAGCACATATTTTGATCAGTTCAGCACCTTTATACAGTCTTCATTCCCATCTAAAACACTGGCGAGTGATTCATCATCAAATGCATATTTATCAGAAAAATAAGCAAGCAATTGGTGACTTCCTTCCTCTGATATAAATCCCTTGTCCTTGAGTAAGGATACAAATTCACCTGATCGGTCCACATCTCCTTCATCTTTCAAGTACTTTAAACAGGCCACCGTGTTTTCCTTGTTAAGCTTCCAATTTGATCCAGCCTTAAATTTCAGGAGAGCAGACTGCATTGCTTCCACTGCCTTTTGCATCTGATTCCTCTGGAAATAACCTAATGACATCCAAAACAATGTTGATGCATTAGGTTTTTCCCAATTTTCCAAATTCACATTCTCTATTAAGGCTTCAGCCTTCTCAACTAGACCATTTCTGCAGTAAAAGCTGATCAAGAGATTTGGAGTACGGATATCTTTGTTGAGATCACTGGCTTTCCATTCCTTGAAAATATTTTCAGCGGTTTCAATGTCATCAAACTTCAATATTGAGCTCAGGATGCAGATATAGTCTCTGTTGTAAACGACCATAAATTTTTTGCGTTCATTCCATGTTCTTAGCACTTCTTCCTTATTTCCTGCTGTTGCATAAAGAGTAAGGAGACATGAAAACGCCTTATTCTTGTTCTTTTCTAAAAGTATCAACTTTTCTGATTTTCTAAGTGACTCCAAAGCCTTGTCTGCATATCCTACTTTAAGAAATTGATTTGCAGCATCAGCATATGTTTTCCAACTAATATTGGACTCAGTATGAGATTCTATTCTTGTCAGAACTTTCTCAATTTCTTCAACATCGGAATCAGCTCCAGAATTATGCAGTAGGATGCCATAAGTGACTTTATCAAATGTTATATGTTTTGACTCCATTTCACAAATCAAGGCATCTGCTTTCTCATAGTTTCCTGTTTGGTAGTAAACGTTCAACATAGCATTGTAATTCACAGTACTTACAGCAGATCCAAATTCCCTCATCTTATGCATGACAGCATCTGCTTTATCCACACATTTTGCATGTGCATAGCAGTTGAGAAGTGCACCATAAACTTCAACTGTCCTCATCTGCTTTGGAGTATTATTAAAGTAATACTCTGCTGCTTCAATTCCATGGACCTTTGCAATCAAATCTAGACGAATAGCAACATCGCCAATTAAGAGATGCATGTATCTTTTGTCACTCATCCATTTGGATACCTGTCACAGAGAAGAAATGAAATTCAAAGATAAAAACATTAGCGACCAACCTGATAAAATATGAAAATACAATATATGCAAGGCTGCTGTCTAGTATAATAAGAAACACAAAAGAGCTAGCCTTGTTGAAAGTCAATTTCTAAGAGGTCCTGAATCACGCTATTTAAATCTTACACAATAACCACGTCTGCACATCAGAGCTGAAAAAGCAATCATTATCACTAATTATTTGTTCAAGTACAGAAGCATGTCCACAATAACATGTATGTTACCCTACCATCGCTTTACATATACATTTCAACTGATTTGAGCTCTGACTTGTATCAGATTTATAAAAACAAAATACATAAAACTGTCTAGGTCCAAATGTTACCTGAATTACATTTAATCTTCTAATCCAAAGTGCTTTATGATCTACAGACCTTCATTAAGGTGTTTACTCTATTTAGCAGATATACACTGCCTATTTTGGTAACAGCAGAAAAGAAGTCCAATTTCAATCAATCAAGTCTAATGACCTGCTTAAAAATCAATGAGCTCGCATAAAAAGAGAGAAAATTTGTTATTAATAATCCCAAGTTTGGGCAATTTACTTTCATTAATCCCAACTATTGATTATTTTTTAATAATCCCAACTTTAGGGGACATTTTCTTTTATCAGGTTAAATGGCTGGTGACCTATTTAAAGATAACTTTTTTTTTTTAATATTTTTTTCTTAAATACCATAGGTTGCAATTTCATTAGTAATTTTTTTTTTTTAAAAAAAAAACCAAAAAAATAAATTAAAAGAACCAAAACCAGCCACCCTCCCACCGCAGCCCCACCGCCTCCCTCCCTAGCATCCACCGGCAACCACCATCTCCCTCCCCAGCCCCCCAAAAACCACCGCAACCTCACTCCCTTCCCCCAAAACCATTCGCAAACCCACCCCCTGTCGCAGAAAACAACCCCCAAGCCCCCATTTTCACCCCCCCGTCGCTGAAAACAACTCCCAAGCCACCGCAACTCCACTCCCCTTCGCCAAAAACACCGGATCCCCATGCCCAGTCCCTCGAAACCACCTTACCCGTTCGCCTTCACCGGCGTGCGCACCTCCACCCTCTTCTTTGACACCGATCTCCCTCTCCCACTCACGAAAACCGCTGATTTCCCTCTCCCACTCACGAAAATCACCGATCTCCCTCCCCCCCTACTCACGAAAATCGACGATCTCCCTCCCCCACTCACGAAAACCACCAATCTCCCTCCCCCACTCACGAAAACCATCGAAAACCCTAACGGCATAGTGGGGAAGGGGCTTTTGGTGGTTTTTGTGAGTGGGGGGAGGGAGTCGAGTGGTTTTGTGCGACACAAGGGTTGGTTACTATGGCCAGGTGGAGTGGCAACGCTAGAGGTGGGGGTGGGACGGTGGGCCAACGAGCGAGGGGGGCGGTCAGGGTGGGTATTAGGGTGGTCCGGTGAACGGAGGGGAGAGGATGGAGTTTTCTTTTTTTTTTGGGTAGGGCTTGACGCCTGTAGCAATAGGTCATTGACTTTTATTGACCGGTCATGACCTGATAGAAGAAAATGTCCCCTAAAATTGGGATTATTCAATAATAATGGAAAGTTGGATTAATGAAAGTAAATGACCCAAAGTTGGGATCAATAATAACAAATTTTCCAAAAGAGAAGGCAATCCATCTTTGTCTATATCTTTCCCCAACACACCTAGACCATATATGGTTTTATATTATGTTAAATGTGACATTTCAAATGTAGATTTAAAAAAAAAAAAAAAAAAAAAATCTTGTCAGGCTTAAATGCTTAATTGCTCCAGTTATGTGGGTGAACTAAAATCTAATGACAGTACAAAATTATGTATCACTAAATTCATACAGTGCAGAATGCTTGCTCCCCCCACCCTCCCCCCTCCCCCCCCCCCCCCAAAAAAAAAAAAAAAAAAAAAAAGGGCAGTCAGATTAGGAATCGGACAAGAAACAACCCTACTTAAAACTATGTACAGTTATGGACAAATTATCTAGAAATATAATTACAAGCAATGAGGTAAGTTACTACTTATAAGAGTTGCAACTTGCAAAAATGCAATATCTTATTTAAGTAAGTACAGAAAACTGGAGAGCAGTTCTACCCAGTTACACTTTTAGGATGAGGTTTGAGATTGGATGATCCGTGATGCTGAGAAACACAGCAATCACTTAGCACTACCCTCTTGATATACTACTTCATTAAATTTGTATCTCCTTCCTCTTTCTCTACTGCTTACCTCCCTAGGCACACTATCCACCTATCAAGCATAGAGCCTTTTTAAAACTTGTTAAGAGCATCCTAGCATGGCTTTTACATGCTATTCTGGCATTAGATGATGCACCAAGTAACAAGCCTTTTAATTTAGGCATTACTTTGATTCTTAAAGAGAATAGAGATATAAGAAAAGGTTAATGGCATTACAGCAAGAATTTGAGATGACTTGATATCTACATGCTGTATAAGAAATATCCAATAGTACAATCGATTAAATTTAGACTTTTGACAATCGAAATTCTGAGACATCAGGTTCTCACAATACTGTTTTGTGCAAAGAAAATGGTGTATTATGAATAAAACAATGCAACATTGTGGCTTTCGAAAAAAAAAATGTGACACTGTGATGGGTTTTTTATTTAAAATTTTATTTTATATATATATATATATATATATATATATATATATATATATATATATATATATATATATATATATATATATATATATATATATATATATGTGTGTATGTATGTATATATTGCCCTTTTCCACTTCCTTATCGAGTCTGCAGATGGGAATGGCTCATAAACTCTGCCTTAGCTCTTGATCAGATAGGGCTGCTGACCTGCTATAAGATTTGGCTTAATAGCCTCAATTAGTGTTTAGTAGACTTGTTATACAGTTTTGCTAGGAGTCTAGGACATTGTAAGTAATGAGTTGTCTACAAAAATGTTAAATATAAGAAAAGTTCGCTACCAGCGTATCAACCTTTCCAAGAGGTTGGGCAGGCAGAGGTTAATAGATTGCAAAGATTGCCATCCAAATTTTAACTATTGTTAGTTAGATGCTATTTACAATATCCACTAGTAAATTATTTGAATCATTCTTGAATTAATTGTTATATCAGAATCTCCCAGATGGATTAAGAACATTAAATGGTGGAATTTCGGACATATAATATGCAGTCTTTTACAAAAAAAATAACTAATATGCAGCCATTAAAAACTATTTCATACAACCAATTAATTCATTTATCAATTCGATTCTAGACAATCTGAAGCAGAAAACCACACAGTTGCTTTATTTGAGTATAAGAGAGAAATCAATTGTTGTATACATTATACTCAAGTCATTGAAGAGAGAGCAAGAACACTATGCATCGAATCATTTGTTCCCAAATGATTCACAAGACAAGAACCAGACAATATGCTAACCTATTTTTTAGAGGATGCCTATATATTGGCTTATTGCTAGCCAAAAACCCACAATCAGCTACAAGCAACTAGACAATGCACTTGTATTCATCAACAAAAACCCATGAGGGGCCATGACCTATGTTACTTAGACTCGGCTAGAAGTTTCTGATACAGGCACACATTCAAGTATCAAACACGGCAACTTCATTCAAGATTCCACAACTTTTGTTCAAAATGAAGTGTCTAAATGTCATACCCACATCTCCGGAACTCGAGGTAAAATGATGAGTCATGATTAACATAAACGAAGACTTATATTACCCAAATTCTTCATTTCACCATAGACACACATCTCAAACAGTGGACAACCCTAATCAAAGTCATGGACTCAGTCACTTGGGCACTTATTTTCTATTAAATTTAAGAAACTCATTACATAACCAATTATCAATCATACCATGGTAAACAAACTATATATATGTATAAATATATAAAAAAAAAAATTTTAAAAAAAAAACCAATTAAAGCTTTATTAATGTACATTACATTAAAAACAAAGAACAACAAAATAATTTTATTTTATTTAAAAAAAAAAAAAAAAATCAAAACCCAACATATGAAAACAAACTAAGAGAAAAGAAGAGTGAGAGAAATGGAGTTATGGACCTCAAGAGCATATTGGTAATGGCGAAAATGGCGAAGCTGTTTAATAATGACACGAAGTTCATTCTGAGTAACAGGAAGACCCTCCTGAATCCATTGATCAAGAATTGATGGAGGTGATTCACAGGGTTTACCTAATGGAAATATTCTTCTGTAGAGTCCTTTGTTTCCCTGAGTTGAGTACCAATTTAACCCAGAACATACCTTTCTCAATGAGAAGCTTGATGTTCTACTGATTAAACGGCATAGTTTCATCTTCAATTTGGAGAAATATGTTTCAACTTAAATATCTATTGAATAGTTAAATGGGGTTTTGTTGATTTTTCGGTGTTGGCCGTTGGGGAATGGGGAATGGGGAATGGTGGGTATAAGGGTAAGGACAGAGTAAACTACACACTCACTCCCTAAACTTACAACAAAGTTGTACTTCATTCCCTAAACTTACAAAACTTGCAATTTATTCACTCTTCCAGTCATCGGAGGTAATATTCCTGATAGTAATCGGTTACCCCAGGGTGGTGAAATGACTTACATTGGTGATAATGTAAGAGTGTTTGATGGGCTCCCAATGGATGTAGATGTTACATTTATTAAGGAATTGATTGATTCTTTGGCATACACTGACATAGCTAGTGAAGATGCATTTTTTGGATCCAAGGAAAACATTATGTGATGGAGTTAGGTTTTTGGGATTTGATAGGAGCACATTTGATCCATTTCTTTGTTTGTTGTTAGAGTACATGGATAGGGATGACAATTTAATCCGAGTTCGATTCGAATCCGATCCGATCCGAAGGAAAAAATCCGATTCGAATCCGTTTAAAATTAATCCGAATCCGATAAAATAGATCCGAATCTGAATAGGAGGTTGGACTTGGACCCTACACAAAGTCCGACGGAGTCCGATCCGAGTTCGAATCCGAGAGTATAAGCATATGCTCTATAATTTGGGACAATTATTTGCTTGTTTTGTAGCAAAATTTTGTTATTTAACTTAGTTTATAATTTAAATATGTTATGTTTATACTTTAATTGGTATGACAATACAAGCAACTATAGGTATATGACATTACAAAAAATAAAAAAATATATTCGGATCATTTCGGAGGTCCATATAAACGGACCGGATTCGGATCCGAAAATTACGAGTCGGGTCGGATTCGGACTCGGATTTTTCGGATTCGGACTCAAATCCGAGTCCAGGGTCCGTTAACTAAACGGATCGGATTTGGATTTAGCCACATCTGACCCGAATCCGATCCGTTGCCATTCCTATACATGGTCATTCATGTGTACACTGAGCATGAATGTGGTAGTATTGATGTAGTTGGGGATTCTTTCTTAAATATGTTGACTGGTGGGACAGTTGGTAGGTCAAATCCAAGGACTAATGGTGTGAATAAGGTAGATTATGACAGTGAGGGAACTGATGAGGATGACATGGAGTTTGTAAATGCTAGGATTAGGATCACTTAGGAAAAACTTGAGCAGGCATCATATGAGGAGGAGTTAAGTATGTTGCAAAGGTTGGCTGAATCAAAAGGCAAAGAAAAACTGAACGTTGATGATGATTGGTATGATTGGAGTGATAATGAGAGCTGTAGTGAATGGGAAGATGATGATGAAGATTGTGGGTATTTGGTGGCTCCTAACTAAACAGAAGCTGTCAGGAAATAGCATAACAAAGTCAGGGTTAATGCAGAATCTGATTTTTATGTGGGACAATCTTATGAGAATGTAGCAATATTCAGGAAAGCTTTAGATGATTGGATTGATACATACTGTACTTATGTTTTGATTCCTTAAAAAAGGGATTTTTAGCTTGGTGCAGGCCCTTCATCTCACTAGATGGTTGCTTTTTTAAGGGACCATTTAGGGGCCAGCTTTTGGTTGTTGTAAGGAGAGATGGGAACAACCAAATGTTCCCTATAGCATGGGATGTGGTGGAGGTTGAGAGTACAGACAGTTGGACCCGATTTTTAACTTTGCTAGGTGATGATTTAGGTTCTGTCTAGGGAGCTGGGTAGCTGGGTACACATTCATGAGTAACCAACAGAAAGGGTTGCTTGCTGCAGTTTTCTCTGAAGCAGAGACTAGGGTATGTGCAAGGTATGTCTACTGCAATTTCAGGGGTGTGTGTAGAGGTAGTCTTGAATTTAGGAAGCAATTCTAGATTATTGCTAAGAGTTCAACTGAGAATGACTTCAATGCAAATATGGATGTCATGAGGCAAATATCAGCAGATGCAACAGATGATTTGATGAGTAGAAACTACATTGAATAGTGTAGGCGGGCCTTCTACAACACTATGTCTTGTTGTGAATTTGTGGGCAACAACATGAGTGAGGTCTTTAATGCCTACATACTAAACTCAAGGCATAAGCCAATTATAACTATGCTGGATGACATTAGAGAAAGTTTGATGGAAAGGCTACAGAAAAAAAGGGACGAGATTGGAAAAAAAAGAAGTGCTGCTATACCCAAGGATTTAGCAACAGTTGAAGAAGCATAAGATTTGGGCAAGAGGTTGGAATGCCTTTTGGGATGGTGGGTTTTTATATGGAGCTAGGAGAGGGGCAAGCCAACAAAAATTTGTGGTTAACCTACAAGGCTGAACTTGTAGCTGCAAGGCTTGGAAAGTGAGTGGTATACCTTGCAAGCATGCTATTGTTGCAATCTGGAACAAGGTGGATGAACCTGAGCACTATGTTAGTGATTACTTCACAAAGACTACCTATCTGAAAGAATATGATTATTTACTTGAACCTTTGAATGGTCCACAAGAGTGGCCAAGATCTGATGATATTGTGCTCCCTCCCAAACTGAAAAAAGTTCAATATAGACCTAAGGTGAAGAGAAGATTACAGTAGGGAGAGGTCACAACTACTGGAAAACTAAGGAAGAAAGGTGTTGCCATGCACTGCAGCCTATATGGGATGTAAGGAAATAATAAAAAAAAAAGATTGCAAGAATGTCTCTGAAGGTCCTAGCCACAACCAGGCTCAGTCTAACATAGCCCAGCAACCTGATAACATTCAGCAGGCACAAATGCAGGGCCATGGTGCAGGACAAAATCCTATTCCCATGCACATGAGAGGGGTGGGATTATATACCTACCTTAATGGCTATCAAAGAATAGCAAAAGTAAGTTATTTTCTTTGAAACAAATGTAATCCCATATTATCCTAAACTACATATCTAATGTCACTAATATACTGTTGTGCATCCTGTTTAGAGAGCTTACTACAGAGACAATGGGGGTGGTGAACAAATAGTGTACTATGTCAGGCAAGATGAGTACCCATTGTCAAGCCAACCTTCCCAAAGTCAAAACACCATATCAATCCAGACATTGCAGGTATTTTAAGTTACAATTTGACAATTAAATATTACCAATTGCAAAAATACAAATAAACAATCATAACATTGATTTCATTAATTTTCAATTACATTCAACAGAACATGGCAAAGGAAAGGAGGCATGACAAGCACTAGGAACATCAATGTAGACTAGCAGCTCAGGTACCATCCCTATCTCTAACTTACATTATCATTTAAATACAAACCAAACTAAGACAACGAAAAAAAAACCAAAATAAACTTCCACAGCTCATAATTGAAACCCAAATTAAACCCTGCCGCCCTTTTAATTTTAAGCATCAAATATTCACCTTCAAACTTTCTTAAGTTCTTGTTAGCTTGCTTCAGGTCATGCCTAAGACTCATAAGCTCACTTTTCAGCTCCTGCTTCTCCTCCATCAACCCTAAAATCACTTTAGTCTGCCATATGGTGGGATCTTCAGCATCAACCCATCTAAAGAACTTGCAGCCCCTCCTTTCAGTTTCAACATTATAGTCAGGGCATGCATAAAACCTTCTACCAGGATTATCTTTAGTCCAAGCCCTACTCTTTGACACTAACAAACCACAGTGACACCTCCTTCCCCCTGAACTCAATCCAGAAATGCACCATGACATATTTCAGATTTAATTCTCTATTTTTTTTATCAGAAATATTTTGTGACCATTTTTTTTCAATGAATTTTGTTGCAGATTAGATGTGCAGAAATAATGGATGCAATGGAGTATATATACAGCTACTGCCTTTTGTTTTTTATCAAATAATATTTTGTAATAATGGCTAGTTATTTGGAACCAAAAGAAACAGAATTCTAAAAAAAAGTTTAGGGAGTTCCTACAATTAAGTCAGAATGTTTAGGGAGTTGTCAGAAAGTTTAGGGAGTTCTTACATTTTACCTGATGTAGTAGGTTAAAATTATCCATAGTGAGTGATTTGCAACTTTTGAAAGTTTAGTGAGTGATCTGCAACTTTGTTGTAAGTTTAGGGAGTGATTGTGTAATTTACTAATTAAGGTAAAGATTGTATTGGGAATTGCCATATTGGGATGGACATGGATCGGCACATGTCACGGCACAACACGACATAACCCGACATTATAAAAGGTTTATAAGTTATATTTTTGAAAGTATGTATAGATACACATTCCTTTTTAGAAAATTTCTTTTTAGTTAGAAAAATTTACAAATTGCAGCCATTTAAAATTTGTATTTTGCAAATTGTAGCCATTTAAATAAAAATTGAAAATTGCATCCCAAAAGTTATTATAAATTGAAATTGCAATCTAATTCAATTTTTTCATCGGTTTGCGTGTCAAAAAATGCTCAGTTACGGTTTTAGCGGCCATTTTATTTCTTAAGGGGCCAAATTGAGCTCAAAATTGACAAAAAATTAACGTAACTGCCTCGTTTTTTACAGCAAAAAATAGTTGCCCACAAATCGAACATTTTTGTTACGCAAAACAAGGCACTTATGTTTTTTTTTTTTGCTAATTCCAAGCTCAATTCGGACCTTTAAAGGCTAAAATGACCCCATAAACATTAACGGAATATTGTTCGACGCCCAAACTGATGAAAAAGTGGAATTGGGCTGCAATTTACAATTTATAAGAACTTATGGGCTGCAATTTGCAAATTTTTTTTTAAATGCTTGCAATTTACAAAATACAAACTTTAAATGGCTGCAATTGGCAAATGTTCCTTTTAGTTAACACGATCTTATTTTAAGTAAGTTTTATATGTTAAAATGTCAATTTTATCCTCCCAATTTCCCAACTCATCTTCTCTCTCCTCCCTTTAGCAAATAATTTGATTTCTCATTCCTTCATTACCTTCCCCACTCCACCACTTCCATCATCTAATCATCCCTATGAGACCATCACCATCACAACAACCACCACCACTTCTCTCTCTTCTTTTCCTTGTAAGTTGTAACATACCCAATTTTCCAAATAAAACCCCATTAATAAATTAAAATCCCCAAAGCTTCTCCTTGCTTCCTTTAACTTCACCCAATCACGCCGCGACACCAAAACCTCACCGTCGATGACGCCACCTCCCAAAACTAGTGCCGCCCAAAACCCTCTATGCTATAGAGGATAAAACCTTTAATCGTATATACTTCCTCCATTTCTTTTTTAGTTGAAACGATGTTTCTTTAGTCACGTTTGCCAATGAACAAATTCAATCATTAATATCTTTAATTACCAATAAGCAAAAATTATAAAAAGTTGATATTTTGAAGATATACATTGTGATGAATATAACAAGATCTCATCACTTGA